GCCACTGCTCTGCAGCCGGAGCCATCACCCAGGGCCATCACCGCAGAGGAGCCCTCCAGAGCAGCCAGGGGCTCCAGCGGCCACTGTGCCTCCACCCTCTTTCCCATCAGTTTTGGACACATTGTGCCTCCGCTGGGGACTCCAGGCAGGAGAACGACAGCCCCTGTGGAGCATCAGGAAAAATCCCCATCCCTGCTAGGAGTCGGAGGTTTCCCTGTGCCCCTTCCAAGCTCCACCAGTGGGGAGGGCACAGCTCGGTCACCGCACACCCAAGCGCTGCCCGCTCCTCTTGTCGAAGCATCGATTTCTGTGCTCAGCATCTCTGCTCGCACATCAGCGGGGACACGGTGAGCGGCTGAGCTGCCTGCTGTGGAGACCGCACGTCCAGCCCCGTTCTCGCAATCAGCCGTGCACCCGGGGTGAGCACAGCCCTGCTCTGCCCTCCCACGCCACAACAGCCCCCTCCTCCGTGGCAGGGCCGACCACGACAGCGATGGCTGCAGAGCGTGGCCTGGGTGAGGCTTTGCCCAGCTCCAAAAGCAGAGTCTGCACCTCCCGAGGAGCTCTGGGTGCTCCCTTCCACCCCAAACACACCCGGATCCCCACGGGGACAAACACCGGTTGCCTGTTCAGCCCCTGCTGCGCCGAGCGTCTGCGCACACCAGGACAGGGCCCTTGGTCACAGGGCTGTGCAGCGCCTGCTCCCCTGCCCTGCACCCACATTTGGGACAGGCACCAGGTTGCCCTCCAGCCCCACCACGCCCCCACGTGACATTTATAGCACATTTTCTTACGAAATTATTTCCAGCAGCAAGTGACCGGGTTGGAAATAGCAGCGCGGCTCAGGGATCATGTGAACCACAGCGGAGCAGCCCCAGGTCTCCCCACAGCCAAGTCCTTGGGGATGGGCCAGGGCCCCTTGCCCAGGGCCAAGCTGGCGAGCAGAGCTCAGGGCCCAAAGCCAGCGTCTGCTCACTGCACAACCTGACCGAACCTGGACACCTCATGGGCATCTCCATCTTCCTTTAGAGGATGCGACACAAATGGCTTCACCTGCAGAAGTGTGAAAGTTTGGGACAGCTGACAGACACCGTTTCACCTCAGAGCTCCGATCCTTTCAGGTTCAAACACACTCTACGTTCTGACAAAGAGACTGGGTAGTATTAAAATCTCAACTTTATTTGGCCAACAAATTCGGTTCCAATGTTACTGTAGCAGAATGCTGAGAACCAGCCTGACGCAGCTCAGGCCTGAGGCACTGCCCTGGTCCAGATCCTCCCCCAACCCCGTAATTGCCCCTGTGCTGTTTGATCCCACACCCCCACCTGCCTGGTGCACCCACCCCAAATAACCCAGGGGAAGGGACTGCAGAACAGTCTCACAGTTGATGGCAAGGATGGAAATGGCCAGGGCTGATCTGAGCGACTGCTCCACGCCCTGAGCCTGCCCCAGCCCCAGCATCCCCCCCTCCCCCAAGTCTGGAATTGCCCCCTCCAAGGGTCTTAAAGCAGAGGGGAAGGAAAGATCCGGCCAGCGTGGAGAGAAGCCCCTCCACGTGCACCTTTCACCAGGACACCAGCCCCCTGCCTCCTCCCCTGCACACAATGAAGGCCAATTTCAGGGAAGAACAGCGGAGGCGATTGAGGACCCTGCCAGGTGGAAAATCAGCTGTGGGCTTTAGTTTTGAAAGAAAAAAAAGGGAAAAAGCTTTCTTGGAAGATGTTAGTGGCAAGGCTCCAGGACGCTGGGCCACTGAACTGGCGCTACCGCCGCACAATCTGCTTCTACCCAGAAGAGAATACTTCAAACAAAGCTGTGTACAAAAAAGTACATCACGATAAAAACACTGTGCCCAGCGGGCTGGGCTGGCTACCTAGAGACAGATCCCTTCAGAGCGGAGAGAGAGAAAGAAAGTCAAGTGTACAGACAAGTGAGGGGAAAGTGTTACTTTGAAAGCCAATCCCTGCATTTCCAGTCATTCACCTTCTGCTTTAAATCTTAACGGGTTTCTGACTCGCGGGGCTGCGCAACAGCAGCCAATTTAGTGTCTGATTTTTTGGGTGATGCAGATCAGTCTCCTCTTTACAACTCATCCTTGTGGATTTTCTGCTCCTCCTCGTCACCCTCCTCAAGGTCGGTCTCCTCGTCCGTCTCCAGGTCCTCCAGGTCCTGCAGAGGTGACACAGACAGCTCCTGGTTTCTGGCACAGAGCAGTGACTCTCATCTCATCATCACCGTTCTCTGCTGCCGTGTCAAAATACCCAGCTCCAGATTCAGGAAACGAAGGATGTGACACCCAGGAGCTGGAACTGAACCTGCTCCAGCCCTGCAGCTGAGGAGCTTCTGACTGAACACCCTACACATGCTCATGGTGCTGAGCTTGGTGGAGCTCTCGGGTTCTCCAGCGGTTCACAGCACCACAGACACCTCGTGTGAGTGCAGAGGTTGTGGCACAGCACTTTCCCAAGAACACCTCCACACCCAGCCGAGCGCTCTCAGTCAGAGCCCAGCGCAGACCAAGGCTGCAGCTGAACACATCGGCCACGTCTTAGTGCAGCACCTCTGCTCTGCTCACCAGTCACGTCCTTCCCTGCCACGCAGCAGCGCCAGATCTGCTCTGGGACCCAGAGTGGGCACAGCCCGGATCCCACCCGCACTCGGGGCCCAGAGCGCCGTGTTCACGTTACTCACATCATCGGCTGCTGCCCCATCCTGACCTCCGCTCTCCAGGAACTTCTTGAAGCCTTCTAGCGTCCTCTCCCCGTTGTAGTCGATCACCTACGCAGGAACACACATCGAGATCATGGTTACGGGCACCCACAGAACCACAGCCCTGGAGAGGAGAATTCTCTTTCTGAGCAACAGTTCACATGCCAAGCAAAAGGGAATTTAAAAATTCACCTTCACCCATATGAGACGAAGGAAAACAGCTCAGCCACTAGAACTTCAGAGATCACTGCGAGGAGAGAATAGCCTGCAGATGAGCACACGGTCCTCTGCTACGCGCCCTCCTTTCCCCATTCCCGCTTCCCACCCCCACCAAGCTCCTTCCTGCAGCCCAGCCCCCCCGGAGGGTCTCGCACGTCCTGCACGCTCGATGGGCTCCATCCCTGCGGGATGCGGTGAGAGCCCCCCAGAGGCCTCGGCCACGACAGGACTCAAGCGGGTAACTGAGCACCGAGCGCTCCCTGGCTCTGCCATCAGCATCAGATCCTGCTAAGGCTCCTTACATTTCTGCCAGAGCCTGCGGGGAAGAACTTGAGCGTGGGGAAGCTGTGGATTTTCACTGCCTCCACTTCATTGGCCGTCGAATCCATCTTGGCGATGACGATGTTCTCGTGGTCCCTGTAGGTCTCTCCCAGCTTGTCCCAGATAGGAGCCAGCTGCTTACAGTGACCGCACCAGGGGGCATCTGTGGATCAGAGACACAGCTGGCACCAGTGACAAAACTACAGAGACAGAGCAGCACCACCACCAAGATATCAGGGACACAGCCAGCACCAACCCAAGTCACCCCGTGTCCACCCGTCTTTCAGAGACGCCCCCTCCACAGCCCCGGTTGCGCGATGCCCTCCCCAGCCGCGGTCACGCAGTGTTTTGGTGCTCCTCTCACACCGGTTACTCGGAAGCGGGTGTTAAAGATACTCACAGAACTCTACAAAAACATTCTTATTCTCATCAAAAGCAACTTCTTCAAAGTTCTTCCCAACCAGGACCTTGACAGGCTGCTTGTCCCAGTCGTCAGGAAGGTCTTGACTCATCAGATGGGGCTGGAACAAGAAGTGAAATTCAGAGATGTTTGCTGCACAGCTGCTAGGAACATCCACGCAGTCACGTAACCCAGGTCAGACCCCGGGGCTGTGAGCAGTCGGTGAATCAGTCACTTCCCCTTCTGCTCACAGGGCTCCCGCCCTCCCGGGCAAGCGGGAACAGGAGGAGCTCCTGGGCAGAGCCACAGCTGAGCTCTGCAGGAGGGAACGGCGCTGCCGACGGGATCTGAGCCCGGCTGCAGTCACCCCTGGAGCTCAGGGGTCCTCCAGACCAGAGCCGAGCACTCCCCAGGCTCAGCAACACGAGCTCCCACCCTGCACACGCTGCGGGCAGGAGGAGCCGCTGCACAAACAGCGGAGCTGCCACAGGCAGCGGAGATTGCCCTGGGGCGCCAGCACAGCGCTCGCCTTCCTGCGGTCTCCACGCCCCAGCAGCTCCACCTGTGGCCCAGCACAGAGCCCGCTGGATGCTCTGCACCTTGGGAGGGATCTTCTCCGGGTGACTTGCGCAACGTTTCACACAACTCGCTTTTTGTTTGCCTACCCAGTAAGCGTGCCACCAGCTGCATTTATCTCCATTACCTTGATCTTTCCCTCCAGGAACTTGTTGCAGAACTCTTTGATCTTGTCAGCGCTGAGGTCATCAGACTCGGGTTTGTATTTGGTCATCTCCTCCTCCAGTGTGATCAGACGCACAGCTGGGCATTCCTCCTTCTTCAGGCCAAAAAACTCCAAAATCCTCTGGTTGTCGCTGTGGTCACTGTCTATGAAGATGAACAGGATCTTTGGGGAAAAGCCAAATGCAGGATGGTGAACACGGGTACCTCTTGGCTACCGACACTTCACACGCTTGCAGCTGAGCCACAACCCCAGCGACCCCAGCCCCTGCCAGGGCACAAGTGCTGGCACCGCTCGGTTCCAGCCGCACACACGGACCTGGCCTGGTGCTGGGTCAGGTCAGGGCAGGGCAGAGCCAGATTTAACGTGCAAGGAAAACCAGTAGCGGCACCAGCACCTCGCCCAGGGACAGAGGGAGCCAGCGCCTCCCCCTCCATGGCCGTCACACACAGAGCTGCGCTGCTCCACGGGGTCACCGAATTCATGACCCAGGAAACCCATCTCACCTTCCCTTTGAAGTGTCCGGCTGCGCTCTTGAAGTTGTCCAGTTTCTCCTGGTAGTCAGACACGCTTTTCGGTAAGAACAGCAGAATGTGAGTCTTGATTTCGCCTCCAAAGATTTTCGGGGCAGTCTGAGGAGTAGAAAATAAAACTGGTTTTGGACTAGAGGCGAGTGGTGTCAGACCAGCCCGGCTCTGCTATTCCCACTGGGCCACAGGAGCCTCCAGTGCTACAGGACTGCTTGAGTACCAGGCCTGTGGCTCAGCATCACAGATCACAGAATGGCTCGGTTGGAAAAGACCTCTGAGATCATCCCGTCCAACCGTTCCTGTCTACCCCCTAAACCATATCCCTAAGTACCTCATCTACCCGCTCTTTAAATACATCCAGGGATG